TTTGGTTTCAGCATCGCTTCAAATGTGTTTTGCTGCGGCTCGCGGCAACACTGCTCACTTATTTCCGGTACCGCCGTCTGTTTTCGCACATGCTCAGATTGAGAAATCTGAAAGAAATCAGAGTAAGAGTTCACATGCACTGAGAAATCTGATTACTGAGCTAAAATCCAGCTCTCTTTATCAGATTTCTTAGATTTCTAGCCCTTACTTCGATCTAAGAAATCAGTGTGCTGTTTACACGACCGTTTGAATAATCAGATAACTGCAGAAATCTGATTGTGATCGGATTATTGAGCGCATGTAAACACACTCATTGATGCGTCACAATGAATGGATATTTTTACAGATCTAAGAGCGACTCAACACTTTTCCTCCGTTTTTCTCCAGACAGCTGTTCTCTCTCGTCTGCCGCTCAGGCCCGTTTTTCCAGACGCTTGTGCACTGACTCGACTGCACTGCCGCTGGTTGGCATTTGCTGGGTTTGTTGCCGCCTCTCCCTCGGAGCTGAATCGATGTGGGTGTTTATCTCCGTAAAGCTCCTCTCAGGAAAGCTTTGTGAGGGTTTTGTTCGCTGGTCGACTTGCGGGGGAAAGAACACACTGCAGCGTCTACCTGCAGCGCTTTTGTGTGCCGGTGGAAAAAGAGTCTCTCTGTGTCTCTCTCTCTCTCTCTCTCTCTCTCTCTCTGTCCGATCTTTTATTGATGTGTTTTTTATAGAGTCAGTCTCTGAATAATTGAGCGCTGCTATGAAAGACTGTGGAAGGGTCTGGCTGTGGAAGTGAGGCAGCGGGGGGATTCCTCCAGTCAACACACACTGTCCTGCTTTCAAAGTGGCTGGCAGGTTCACTCTGACTCTTTTATGAGTGTGTACACACACACACACACACACAAACACACACACACACACACACACACACACACTGAGTAGCTGAAGAATGAACTCCAAACACTGGATCTGAGTCAGTCACTCAGGATGAAGAGCTGGAGAACGTTCACGTCTCCATTTGATTTATTAACGCTTTCGGCCTGGTTTGACATTCAAGGCACTTACCTGCCTCTCTCTCTCTCTCTCCCTGCCTCTCTCTGCCTCTCTTTCTCTCTCCCTGACTCTATCTCTCCATTTCTGACTCTCTTTCTTTCTCTGTCCCTGTCTCTCTCTCTGCCTGCTTTTCTATTCCTCCTTTCTACCTCTCAGGCTCTTGCTCTCTCTGCCTTTCTTTCTCTCTCTCCCTAAAGCTCTTTCCTTCTGCCTCTCTTTCTTTCTCTCTGTCTTTTTCTCTCCCTGCCTCTCTTTTTTTTTGTATCCTCCTTTCTACCGATCTGGCTCTTTCTCTCTCTCTGTCTGTCTCTCTTTCTCTCTCCCTGACTCTCTCTCTCTCTCTCTCTCTCTCTCTCTCTCTCTCTCTCTGTGTCTCTCTTTCTCTCCCTGACTCTATCTCTCTCCCTCTGACTCTCTTTCTTTCTCTCTCTGTCTCTCTTTCTGCCTCTTTCTTTCTTTATCTCTCTCTGTGCTGCTCTTTTTCTATCCACCTTTTTATATCTCTGACTCTCTGTTCACCTCTATTTCTCTCTCCCTGACTCTCTCTCTCTCTGCATCTCTGTCTGACTCTCTTTATTTTTCATGCTTTTCTTTCTCTCTTTCTTGCTTCTCTCCCTCTTTATTTTACTCTGTCTGCCTTTATGCCTTTTTATCTTTTTTCTCTCTCTCTGTCCCTTTAAATCTTGCTCTCTTCCTCTTCCTGTGTCTATTTTCTGCTCTCTTTCTTCTCTCTGCCTCTTTTTCTTCTCTCTCTCTTTCTGCCTCACTGACTCATTGTCTCTCATTCTGTTTCTCTATATCTCTATTTTTTGTGACCCTCTCTTTCTCCCTCTTTTCTTTCTCTTTCTCTCCATTCTCTCTCCCTTCCCTCTCTCTGTCTGTCTGCTCCTCTCTTGTCCCATCTCTCTCTCTCTCTCTCTGTCTCTCTCTTTGTCTCTCTCCCTCTCTCTCTCTCTCTCTCTCTCCCCTCTCTCCTCTCTCTCTCTCTCTCTCCCTCTCTCTCTCTCTCTCCCTCTCTCTCTCCCTCTCTCTCTCTCTCTCTCTCTCTCTCTCTCTCTCTCTCTCTCTCTCTCTGCTGTAATAGACACTGCCCTTTCCCCTCTAAGTTTGGTCATTTCTCTCTGTTTGTTCCTGCACATCCTGAATGATTCAGCAGTGTTCTGTAGTCTGACCCATTTCTCCGCACTCCATTCTCTTTTTCTACCCCAAAAAAGTTCACCACTCATTTTACACACTGAGCTGAAATTCACCCTCTGTACAGCAGGGCCTGGTGGCACCGCCTCCAGAATATTGATGAAAACTCTAATGTAAGAAAGCATTCTTTACAAATCCAACCGACTCGACCCACAACGACCTACAAAGTTTAGAATCCACATTTGATTGTAGCACAGCGAAATTCTCTCTGAACTCGACTGTAGCCAACAAAATTCTGTCTGAATCTGACTGAGCTGATAAAATTCAGTCTGAATCTGATAAAATTCAGTCTGAATCTGACAAAATTCAGTCTGAATCTGACTGAGCTGATAAAATTCAGTCTGAATCTGATAAAATTCAGTCTGAATCTGACTGAGCTGATAAAATTCAGTCTGAATCTGACTGAGCTGATAAAATTCAGTCTGAATCTGACTGAGCTGATAAAATTCAGAGTCCTTTTTTGATGTTGCTTCCAGAGGCAATTTGGAGCTGTTTAGTGAGTGATTTAACACTGCGCTTCAGCACTCGGCAGCCCCACTCTGTGAGTTTGCGTGGTCTACTCCTTTGTGTTGTTGTTCATAGCCCCCTCCATTTCACAGTAATAGCACTTACAGTTGGCAGGGGCAGATCTAGCAGGACAGAAAATTCACAAACGATGACTGAAACATATGACAGTGCCATGTTTAAAGTCACTGAGCTCATCAGTACGACCCATTCTACTGCCAGTGTTTGTCTGTCGAGGCTGCAAGACTATGAGATTAATTTTATCCACCTGTTAGCAAGGGGCGTGACCTGAACTCCGAAATAACGAGGGGTGTCCCAATACTTTTGTCCATATTGTGTGTATTGCATGATGTATATCTGAATTTTTTTACTCATGTTTTGCTGCTTTTATGTGTATGTTCACACCTGTGTTTATTAATTTATTAACACACTAAATGCAAAGTTTCATTGTAGCGAGAAGCCCCATATCTGAGAAATGGTATCTGAACTGATTGAAAAATCCTCTTTAATGAGATTTTAATCTAAGTCATTTAGGACCATTTTTACTGGCTCATTCATCATGAAATGCTCCCGCAAAGTAAACGTCAGCTTGAGTGTTCAAATGGTTGATATGACAATTTGTTTTGGCAAAAAGACCACAAAGTAAGAATATCATTGTACAGAGAAAGTCATTTCTTGCCACGTCTGCCATCAAACACTTTGCCTTGGCTTATGTAATGGATGATTATCATGGTGAATGACTGTCAGTGACATGACATAAGCGGTTATGTCACGGTGGAGGGGTGCAGGGCTCTGTGTGACCGCTGCTGTGCTTCATGGTCCGTCTCTTCCATATTCTCCGGCTAATTTTAGATTCTCGGCCCGATGCAGAAAACAGTCACCCTCTCTCTGGTAGTACGAGGCGACAGATCGCTGCAGAGGAAAAGCGATGCCTCTGCCTACAGTCCAACATTTTGTCATATTAAGATTTTATCACACAGTATCATCCCTTTTTTGTAACATTTATGAGAAATTAACAGCCTGAGGGCAATGCTAATATTACAGTGATTCATTCAGAATTGGATTTTTACTCTTGGCTTTTCAGGTCTCCTCTTTTTTTGAATGTAAAGTTCAGTGTATTTTAAAGGGGAACTCCATCAATTTTTCATAATTTCTGCATAATTAACATTAACAACAAAGTCATTGGTGTGAAACGCTCCGTTCTGCAGAAACCTACAGTCAGAATTGCTCAAAGTGGTGGTGATAGGAACCAGACGTCCACCTCTAAAAGCTCCCTCACAGAAAGTTACTACATGAAATCATTATGAATTCACTGCCTGATGTCTGAGACATTGTTTTAGTAAAGTTTTGAGGTAAGGATTTGGCCTAAAGCGTACATTTTTAAAAGACATTCATGGTGGAGGGGGACATGCAGGGTGTTGTGAGGCAAAATAGTCTGAACTGATTTTTTTCAGATTTTCGACTATTTTAAGTATTTTGGTTGAAAGAAACACCAAAAAACAAACTCAGGAGCACGTGTAGGTTCACTGGTGGTTTGGGATAGTAAATAAAATGGCTATATTTGTGTTGTAGTCATGGTGACCCCTGGTTCCCATCAGCACCATTGTAAAGAAATCAGAGTCTATACGTTTCTCTACCATGAAACATTTCACACCAAACCACTCTGAATGAATCTGTTTACATCTCAAGTACAGAATTTTAAAGAATTGATGGACTTCTCCTTTAATCCGAGTCTTTGGTCTTATTTAACTAAATGATCAAACCTTGCCTCTGGTTTGAAGGGGGATTCGACTGGTTTTTCAAAATTACTGTATAATTCAGTGGTTGCAATGTAAACAGAGTCATTCAGAGTGATGTGGTGTGAAATGGTTCATTGTAGAGAAACATACCGACTCTAATTTATTTACAGTGGTGGTGATGGGAACCAGGGGTCACCATGTCTACAGTACAAATATAGACATTTTATTTACTGTCCAAAACCACCAGTGAACCTACACGTGTCTTCTGAGATTTATATGGAATTGTGATGAAAATGATGGAAAAATAGTGGTAAATCTAAAAAATCAGTTTTATTTAGAGGCTATTTTGCCTCACAACACCCTGCATGCACCCCTCCGACATCTGAGTGGGTTTTAAAACATAAGTTTCAGACCAAAACTTTATCTCACAACTAACGTAAAACAATGTCTCAGACATCCGGTAGCATTTCATAACTCTGTATCTCTCTCTCTCTCTCTCTCTCTCTCTCTCTCTCTCTGCATAGGAGGATGGTAAGGTAGTGGACGGTAGTCTGCTGGGTGATGCTAACGGAGTGGACCCAGTCCCCGGCAGACAGAAGGCCAGTGGGAAGTGGCAGAGGCCTCGATTCACCCGTAAAGCCCTGATGAGGTGCTGCCTGGTCCGTTGGATCATCGCCAGCGCCGGACCCAAAGAGCAGGGTGAGGAGCGGGACGGGGAAAGGGGAGAACTTTAGAAGGTCGCAGCAGCTGGAGAGGCACTGAGAACTTGCAGAGGGAATGATGGTGAAGTGATCACTGAGCAAGAGCGATCTAGTTGAGCCGTCAGGATTCTGTTACCAACCTGCTGTTTCTTTACTGTTTAGACTGTTGGATTTAGAGCAGTAGTTTGAATGCAGATTTACACAGCCACCCCTATTGGAATCAGTCAGTCTGGACATGCTTGGCGTCCAACGTTTGCTTCTTTAGTTTTGCACGGAAGCTATGAGGCTAATGTAGCTGACATCTAATAGGTGCTGTTTAGCCTTTCAAGTCTTAAACATTAAACCTTATTTTGTATTATTTTTATAACATTGAATGTAAGAAAAATGTGTTTAACCATTTAAAGGTCTCATTCTTTACTGACGGTGACTTAAATGAGTAACAGAGTTGAGGTTTTAGCAAGTACTCAAAATGTGGTGAACGACACACTTAAAAATGATGGTTCTTCAAGGGTTCTTTAGTAAAGAAAATTGTTCTACATAGAACCATGAACACTCAAAGAACCCTTTCCATGATGGGTTTCCTTCATGTTGAACAATACAAGATTTATTGATCAAAATTCGAACAAGAAACTCAGAGAGGTGTAGATTTTATAACCGATTTCACAGCTTCACAAATGTGATATCCCCCGATACTGGTGGGCATCCAGACCCCTTTGTCCTGCACAGACAGCCTTCCTCTGTGAATTTTTTGTGCCATGTCCAAATCTGCTTTCCAGTTGGTGCATTTTTACTGAGTTTTCTCAAAAATGCGTGCTGCACACTCTTGTTTGACTGTGTTTGAGTATTCTAACACACAAAATGCCTTTTCATTTCTAGTGAACACCATTCTTCAACCTGAAAAAACATTAAAAATGAAACTTGGTTAGTTTTTACACATTTTGCTAAAATTTGAGATCATTTGAGGGAGAATTGGCTGTTATTAGACTATGAAATGATGTCAATTTTTTTGGGACACCCTGTATATCTCCAAAATAATAACTTTACAGAAGAAGGAAAAACATACTTTACTTTCAATGTAAGTCAATGGAACCAGACTATTTTCCAAGTCATTTTGGGCTGTTTTTTTGGTCCATTCACCACAAAATTTACACACAATGCAAAGGACAACAGGCATTTTCAAATGATTTCAAAAACTGAAAAATGCAAAAGACAAAAAAGACAAAAATGGAGATACGAGGTTTTGCTGTAACGATGTCAGGCTTGTCATCTATAAATATGCAGAAAAGGTATTTTTTTCTGACTTTTGTCTTAGGAAGTATAAGATTCTGTTATTTGTTAGCTATTTTAGCCTCACAGCATGTAAAGAAGCAAACGGCAGCCACTAAATGCATCTTTGCTGATTAACTAATCTGTGTTAAGAGGAAAACTGTGTAAATTTGACTTTTTGCCTAACATTCGCTTTAACAGGCTGAGTGTTAACTCAGGAGAGGGGGCAGTCTGTGTAGAAAGTTGAGGACGACTAGAGTTAAATGTCAGCAGGAGCTGCTTTTGGAGGGAACACGAAGGAAGAGAAGAGACAGATTGTTCTACTTTGCATGTTTTTGGTTTAATTAGCGGAGCAGAATGGCAGGATTAAAGGTAAACCTCCAGGCGTGTGTAGCGCTCGTCAGAGATCACTCAGCCTGTGATCAGAGGAGAGATTAGATCAGAGCGGTGCGAGGCTGTCGCTGATAAAGCAGATACTGACAAACGACTTATGGTATCTGCTGTAGCTTCTGACACTGCGTGGAAATCCCTGAAAGTTTGTGAGTTCGGAAAAAAAACGAGGCTTTAAAAAGTTGTTCGAAGTGGATGAGGGCGCTGTGGAGTTTCCAACGATGACAGTATCTGATTTTGAGAAGCTGATATCATTTTATGAGATGACATAGCTGCAAAAAAGCCATGACAGCCGTGAATAAGCTATTTTCATAGATGTTACGTATCTAAATTAGATCTTTAGTGAATGTAGGCCCAACCCATTTCTCATTTTTACACCGTCCCTTGTTTTTGAGTGTCTTTATCCCCCTTGGAACTGAGTTACAAGTTGTAGTGGTTGAAATCTTCCTCTAAGAAACGGGACCCTCAAATAAAAAGAGCATTACTTCATTAACAGCTACTAGTGCTGTTCTGTAGGCGACCCTGCCAGTCTGCAGTGACAGCAGAGGAGGGTAAAGTTCAGCTCCTCACTGCTGGGCTTTAGTTTACATTTAGGGCATCATATGCCTTCAAAGAGGGGGGCAATTATTTATTATCGCCCACCCCTAATTCTTCAGTGATTCAGATTCAGATTCTCGCTCCAATTTTCCTGTTCCACCTTAAATTAAAACCATTTAAGGTGGCACGGGAAATTTAGCTAGCTACCGAGACATCAGCTAACTACTAGTGATTTTTTATGCTTGTGATGAAGAAAAGGACCGTAACACACTGAGACGACATTAAACTGAGATAATGCAATGGTTATCATAATTTTTTTAATGGAGGAAATTCTCACATTTGTGGGTTTCTTTGGTCGCTCATGCCGCCATCTTGCCAGTTTTTCTTTTTTTTCTCATAACACTCTGCTTGGAGTGCCTCTGAAAAACCTCCATTTGGAGGGCCATGTAGCCCTAGTCCCATTTCTTCTTTTTACCCCTACCCCTTGTTTTTGAATGTCACCCTAACCCCTTGGAGCTAAATTACAAGGGCTAGTGGTCGAAATCTTGCCCTATGAAATGGGACCCGTCAAATAAAGAAAGAACATTACTTCATTAACAGCTACTAGCGCTGCTCTGTAGACGACCCTGCCAGTCTGCAGTGACAGCAGAGGAGGGTAAAGTTCAGCTCCTCACTGCTGGGCTTTAGTTACATTTAGGGAGTCATATGCTTTTAAAGAGGGGGGCAATTATTTATTATCGCCCACCGCTAATTCTTTGGTGATACAAAGCTGAAGTCAGATATTCAACAGGTTCTTGTTCAAATTTTCTTGTTCCACCTTAAATGGTGCAGCAGTTACATTCTGGTGCTTCATGCGTCAGTACTATTTAAGGTGGAACAGGAAAATTAACTAGCTAGCTACCGAGACATTAGAATGCTATTAGTGATTTTTTATGCTTGTTATGAAGAAAATGACCAAAATACATTGAAAAGACATTAAATTAAGATAATACAGTGGCTATTGTAATTTTTTAACAGAGAAAATTTTCACATTTGTGTGTTTGTTTGGTCGCTTGTTCAGCCAACTTGCCAGTTTTTCTTTGTTTTTTTTCTCATATCACTCTGTTTGGAGTCTCTGAAATACCTCAGTTTGGAGGGCCGTGTAGCCCAAACACTTCTCCCTACCCTCTCTATCTCAACAAAATTGGGACACCCTACCCCTAGGCGTGAATGTGCAAAACAGACAGATAGGGCTAAGTGGTAGGGGCGAGGGGTGAAAGTAGGATTGGACCTTAATCTTCATTCCTACTTGTTGAATGGCTAAAACAGGGCTCTGCACTTTTAGCTGGAACTTGCTGTGATATCTTAATGTGTCTCGATAGCAGCTTCTTCTTTGTTCCCTGTCTTTACTTCACACGACCCATTGAACAGTCAATGCTGAAAGACCTTTCATCTCATCAATGCAGGTAATCAACATAAATCTTCCACCCATAAACTCTTCTGACAGCGCCCTACATCAGTAATCAGGCTAGCTGTGAGTATCGAGCCTTTGTGGCCCCCTCTGGACGTGACCTGTGGCCAGTGTTATTGATTTACTCAGCTTCAGCAGATGTTTCTTCTGGCTGTTGATCACTGGTGGCCCTGGAGGTAATATGGTTTTAGGTAGATCAGTGGAGGGACTGTTTCATTGGATGGTCAAGCTGTGGTGAGATGTTAGTATCGTGGTGTAGTCTAGTGTGAAGACTAGCCTAAGCACTCAGCCACCCACATAAACACTTTAGATAGTTTTACTTCAAGTGTTTTCCTGCATGTTTTTCATTCAGTGTGACTCTAAATGATACATATACTATTAATAATCTTTACAAAGCAACTTTAGTGGACCTACAAGGCTAGATAACATGACTGTGGGTAGCTAACACTAACGATAACTCAGCAGGATCCGTGCTAACACAAACACATCTTCAACTCAGAGATTTTCTCATGTAGGTGAAGGAAAAGAGCCTTTTTCTGTGGAAGTTTGTTATTACGGGTGCAAAGGCAGGGGGTACGGGGGGCAAAGCCATCCACTTTTTGCAATTCAGTAAGATCATTTTTAGTTAGCTATCAGGACGATGATTTTCTGGTTATAATATTGGCTGTTTTTGTTATTAATGTTGACATACAGCATTAGATATATTAAGCATAGCTCGATGGACTTCATGTCATGTTCTGGCAAGTTTTTGTATGTGTATATATCTTATAAATATCTTACTGATCATTATTGATTACTTGGAGACCAAACTGGTTTCCTCCCTCGTTACAAGCAAGGCAATGGCTTTCTTCTCGCTGCTGTCGGAACAAAACCTCGAAAAACATACTTTACTTTCAATGTAAGTCAACGGAACCGGTAATTTTGGGTTGTTTCTTTTGGTCCATTCACCATGAAATTTACACACTATGTAAAGGCCAACAGGCATTTCCAAAATATGTCAAAAACTGAAAAATTACAAAAATGGAGATACAAAGCTTTGTTCTGACAGCAGTGATATATATATATATATATATATATATATATACACACCCCAAACACCACATACTCCAAACTATACTGTACAGTACTCAATAATAACGACATAATATTTTGTACTTTGGACTTGCAATACTTAAACTGCCCTATACTTTTTGGATTTTGTATAATACTTAAAAATTTGAATTATGCTTGGACTTTGCGCAATATTTAATCTGTGCAATATTTAAGCTGCTCAATATTTAAGCTGTGCAATATTTAAGCTGCGCAATATTTTTGGTCTTTGTTGTAGTTGTATTTAAGCACTGTGTTAGTTGCAG